AAAAAAAAAAAAAAAAAAAAAAAAAAAGAAATCAAAAAATCTACAAACAACCCATTTACTGTGTCATTTTCTAAGTGTTCATTGGTTTCGCCAGGATGGTGGTGGGCCACTGAATGATCAAGAAAACGTGGTTCAATCCTCATCAACATTTGCATTCATTACGGTTAAGGATATGCCAAATCTCGACCCACAGTTTCTGAATTTACCAAACCTTGCTGCTATTGACGAGAATTCAGCTGTGGTGAGTGGTGCATTTTTCTTTTCTTTTTTAAATTAATGTTGAATTGCCCTACTTTTCTCCTGGCGAGTCACAATGCAAAAATCAATGCTAAATGATACAAATATTTTATATTTTAGCTTTTTATATATATTTTAGTTTATTGTAATATTAATACGTTTCAGTATTTCTTTTTAAGGATATAGTGTAACTTTGTAAACTAAACAGTTTTGGTACTGTGGTATACTGTTTGGGCACCGCTTGGTTTCAAATGTAAAATATATATAATATATAAAAATATATATAATGACCTCTCACCTTTGAATCTCTCTCTGTACGCTCCATCTCAGGATACGTCAGTCTTTACTGTGAGAGCCAGAGATCCAGACACCGGGGTCAATGACCAGATCCTCTACAGCATTGAAAGTCAGTCAATTGGAAATTGTATTTTAACATTACTCTTTGTAATGTTTTTTTTAAATTACAATTGTAAACATAGTCTCTAAAATCTCAAATGTCATAATCAATTCTCTTTGTCACCAATGATTAAGATATAGTAAGTAATATTCGGATGGTCTTGTGATCTTAATGTGGCAGCCACCATGAGAAGAGACCACTCTTATGTAGAATAAAACTACTTTTTCTAGGCCACTTATGCCTTTTTGTCCTGTTGCACAGGTACTAATGCACCAGACCTGTTCCAAATCAATGACGTGACTGGTCAAATATCTATCAAAACTGTATTTGACCGTGAAGAATTACTGGATATAGATGCTGTTGTAATTTTGCAAATAAAGGTGAGTTTACTGAATTTAATTGTATCCTGTTATTATGATATCAGATTGATTACAATTTAACGGCAATGATATTTGGCGGCAAACCAATGTCACTGTGTACTTTTAACTTATCATAATCTATGAATTTTATGAATGTTACTTGATTTTTTCCCCCTGATTTTTTCTTCCTGTACTTCAGGCAAGTGAAACAAATCTTAATGTGGATGGAATTATTGCAAGCACAATAGGAGAACTACAGATTTCTATTGGAGATTTGAATGACAATGGCCCTGAATTTTATGAGTGTGAAGGTGAAACTGAAAGCTGCACACAGAAAAACAACTTCATAGGCCAAGTTGATGAGCATTCATCTGCAGGACTGTCAGTAAATGAACTGAATATTAGAGTCAAAGATCCAGACCAGGTCTGTAGTTACAATATTTGCATGGTTTCTTCTAAGGAGATTTTTGTATGATTATTACGTTTTTTTTTCCCCATGTGTTGATGATGAACTTATTTATGATCCAGGGGCAAAACAGCAGGTTCAATCTCCGTCTTGAGGGACCTGATAAGGATGCGTTCGCTGTCAGTCCCAGCACTGGGCTGGGAGAAAGTTTTGTACAAGTGATAATAAAAGATCCATCTGCTGTTGATTATGAGAAGAATACAGTGATGTCTGTTCAGGTTTGTATATTTGGGTGTGTCTCTGGAGATTTACACATATGTTAACCGGTCCAGTAGTTTGGACAATGCCAAAATTATCCCATCCCTATCTATCTATCTATCTATCTATCTATCATCTATCCATCTATC